TACTTGATTAATAAATCCTTGAAATTTTGATCTTATATCATCAAACTTCTTAGATAGTGCAATCTTTGGTTTTCTAACATTAGAAGGATTTTCTACTATAGAAAAAGGGACATGATTTGATATAGATATTGAAGTAGCTCCAATCATCTCTATATCTTTACTCCCTACCATTCTTATTGTTCTTTGTAGTGATAAATTAAGTTGAAACATCGCAAATATTAATTCTTTTAATTGTTCTTGTATTTGTATCATTAAACTCTTTATTTTAGAAAGTTCTACCATGATAATACTTAAAGAAGGAAAGATGTCTAATATTACTTATGATAAATAAAAGTAAACACTTAAAATCAAAGAAAAAATAATAACAATAATATTAGTTTAGAAGAGGATAATCCACAACTCCTAATATACTTAAGTCTTATCAAGAGAAAGGAATAATCCACTCTTAATAAAAAAAAAAAACAAAATTCTAATATTATAAATATATTCTTGCTAATTTGTCAAAAATAAGAACTTGATGAAAGAAAATAAATAAATGAGACTCTCTCAAAGAAATATGACAAAATAAAAATAGAAAAGTATGTATATTAAAAAAAAAAACTAGAATAATTATTGTAAAAAGACAAAAAAACTAGAGATTAGAAAATAGATTGAAAATAGATTAGAAGCAAGAAAAAATTTGACAAGAGTGAAGAAGGCTTTATTCTTGCCTCTATATATACTATCTATCTAGGATCTATATGGCAACTTTCTATTAGACCTCCAAAAAAATATTCACTTTACATGACATGTATTTCAACTTGTAAGGGAAGTTTTTTATATAGGTGCCACATAGTTAGCTTGTTCTACAAGCTATTAACACATGTAGTACATGATTAGCTTATTGACAAAGTTTCTAACCTACCAATCAATTATAAATACATATAAAATCAATATAGCATCTAAGAAGCTTTTAGGAAGCTATTTTAGAAGATATTATGAAATTAATCTACTTTTACTTACTTCTACCTATTCATATTATCTAGATAATAATTACGATAGATATTTATCCATAACATGCCAATGTAATTGATTAAAGCTATTATTGTAGGAATTGAGGTTGATCTTTTGCATAATAAGGCGTTTGATATCTAGTCAGGTATGGCTTAGGTCTTTTTTTTTTTATTTTAATAAGGTTTGATTTTGTAATTTTTTTTTTAATTCTATTCTATTTTCTTTTTCTTTATTCTATCTTTTATGTTCTATTCTATTCAATTTTGATTTGATCTATGCTGTCTTTCATTATCATGAGATTTATATTACTATGGTTTTTAAGGATCTTAAATCTTATAGATAATCAAATCGTATTTCAATGAGAGGTTGTATTTTCCTTGATTTCTACCAATTTTTATAAGCTTTTATTCATAAAAATAAAATATTTTTTTTGCTATTGATTTCTTTGATTTTTTCATCTATTTTGCAACTTTCTCGCAAAAGATATTTTGAGCCAATTGCACTTGATTTTATAACTTATTATTATAATTTATATTCGAGTAGCTTTCAAGAATTTTTTTTCTGAGATTGTCTTTCTGACATGTAACTTAGTAGATATTGTTTTAGGATTGCTCTCATTGTACGGCAGCAACTGAGAGTGCTCTTCGATTCAATAGATTAAAGATCTGCAACATTAGTGCCCTTGGCATTGAAGGTTTTGATAAATCTATTTTTATTTTTTGCTTCTATAGTATAAAATTAATTAATAACTAATATCACTTGAAGTAATAACTATCTACAATTTTTTAAATGATTATATGTAATAATTTTTTAAAACAATTTTGTAAGCATATTATTGAATTTTACTTTATTTTCATATTGTTTATAGATAATTGTAAAGAAAAAGTTATCTTTGTAGGACACATGCAAATATTATCTTCAGTTGATTTACAATTGCTACAAATCCATTTCCTTATTTTTGCTTCTACAGACTTAAATTATGATGCAGATTGTTGTATTGATGTTTTTGCATGCATGTCACTACTAGTTCAATTTCTTGCTCCTTATGGTCTTCTCTTTCGTCAAATCACTCATGGATTTTTCAATTGCATAGTTATTTTTGAAAGTTCAATGAAACTTTCATGTAGATTCTTTTATTGGTGAAGAGTTAAATATCAAAAGTTTGACTAATAATAGTATAAAGTAGATGTAAACTATCACAAGAGAATAGAACTATAGGTGCTATTGGAATAAACTTGTTAGGAATATTTATTAAGTAGTATTAAAGATGAAAATCACTAATTGATAAAATATCTCTTTTTTTTAGTAAAATTCTTATTTGATGCTTATATGGTAGACCTAATGTATTTGTCATTGTCCTTGTGTAAGAAAAATTGTATTCATCAATTTCTATTCTTGCTTGTTTATATTACTCAACGACTAGATTAAGAGCATGTAAAGATACATGTTTGACAACATTGGTGAAGAAAATAATATTATATTGATGAGCAATATGGCTTTGTTTTGAACTTTCTTGAGCCTTCAATTCTCTTATTGTATTCTTAAAAAAGTGAGAGAAAGAAATTTGAACTTCTTTAATGTCTTTGGTAGAAATTTTTAAGTGAGATTTTAATATTGAATGTTGACCTTCTACTTGTAATGTAATAATACTTCCATGATGAAGTAGATTATTTGTCCAAGCTTTAACAAATGTCTTATTATGTAGTATCTAAGTATTCATTAAATATTCAATAGTTGTATGAGCAACAATTGGAATGTACTTGTTGCAAAGATTAATCTTCTCCAAATCAAAAAGCTCTACAAAACATGTACTAATCATAGTGGTCCAATCTGCAAGGAATGAAGACCATCCTAACTCTACTTTATTTGAATAGTATTTTTTTCAATTTAGTAACATATTTTTTTATATATGCCAAATATAGAATAATATATTTGAAGTAGAAAATATTAATTCAATGGCATTTATTAATACTAAATTCCTATCAACATCCATATAAATAGATCAAATTTCTCCATAAATTTCTTAAAATTGGATTAACATCCAACAAAAGAAAATTTTTATTTCTTCTTGGAGAAAAGCAGTACCAATAGTAAATGAGGTATTGAAACTTGTCATCCTTGCAGTATGTAATATTAGCATTCCAAATCTATTTGTCTTGTATGTACAATCCATGACAATAGAAAAATGATACCTTTTTGCAAGTTGAATACAATTAAAATGTGCAAAAAATAAAGAATTGACTTTATAATCTTGATCATAATGATAAGTAAAATGGTAATTAGCTCTTTGTAAAGTTTCCATAAGACATATAATAGGTAATTGTCTAGCAAGTGTAATGTGACATAATTTTTGTTGCTCATTATAAATAATTTAAGTAATAACTTTGCTATTAGTATCTCTCTCACATAAGGCAACAATCACATTTTTTAGTAGGATGCTTGCAGTTAGCAATTGTGAAGGTAGTTCTTTTTTAGTTAGTTGCAAATAGCAAGCAAATGGATGGCGAAAAAGAAAAGAAGTATCTCCTTGGTTATGAAGAGAATTTCAAACAATCAAATGACATTGAATACTATTATGCAAATGACAAGCTTGCAATGCAAATGGACATCCTATCAAATGACTTGCACTATTTTATTTGTAAGTATGACGATTTCAATCATAGTAAACCTCTCCTTTGTCATACTTGTAATCAATGCGAACTTTGTTAGAGCACCGTTTGCATATGACATAGCCTTGATTATGTGTAAATTCATCAATACTACATTTCATTTCTTCTATATTTTCAAAATATTCCTTTGGTAGTGCACACATATATCTCTCACTTTCCATTGCAAAATGCAAAAAAATTGTAGAATATACAAATTTCTCTCCTTTGTCCACTACTCACAATCTAGAAAAAGTATCCATTAGAATAAGATGAAGAAGTAAATTCATTATACACATATTTATAGAGCAAGTAGAGAAAAAACAATAGAAAGATGTTATTATTAGCCATTGGAAATTATTGAGAATAATTGGGAACTATATCCAAAATAATGATTTTGTTTATCCAAATATAGATTATGGTCTCAATGATGAAGAAGATTTGTACAATCCATGTGCAAAATTGTGATAATAGATGGGTTGCTCTAAAAAAAATTTGGATTGCTTTATTATTTTCCTATATATATATATATATATATTTTAAAGCAAAACATACAAAATTATATAATAAGATAATAATGATAACAAAAAACAAAAAATTGGCATGCACACACAAAAATAAATTAAAAAAAATAAAAAATAAAAAATAAAATAAGAATGGAAAGAAAATGAAAGAAACATCATCGACATAAATACATTATATATATATATATATATATATATATATATATATTTATAAGCTAATAATTTTTATATAATATCTATTATCATAAAAGAATATAAATAATTAATTTACATAGATAAGTTTGAGAATGAATATAGCATTTGTATAGATATAAATACTCACAAATCTTAATACTCACAAATCTTAAGGCTTGAATGATTTTTTCATGAAATGAGAGTAAATAAGAATAAGGATTATAGATATATTTGGCCAAAAAAACAAATGACACAATTTCGTAATTTCGTATAAGAGCTAATCACTCTCAGTGATATTTGTAATTGACATCTGTATTACCAAAATATATAAAATAAAATATATATTAAAATCTGATAGTTTCATAATTTGATTGTAATATGTTTAATTGAAATTAAACTATTTGAAGTTTACTTTGGTCTATAACTAACTTTCATCTTGTTATGGATAAAGAAATTACATACCTACAGTATGACCTAAGTCATACATGTTTAATTCTAATTAGGCAAAATCATCCTAGAACCATAAAAAATTTGAAATGAGATATAACCATTAACAAACACAACTAGGAATCGTAAGAACCAATGGAATTAAAATCTTTACGTGAACATGCCAGCTAGTTAAACTGATAAAACTTAAAATGATATCTGTAAGAACCATCAATTGTGAAAGAAAATGAACTCTGTTGTTCTAACATTAAATGAGCATTCAAAAACTGTCAAGAGTCTTCAACTGAACAAGATAGGAAAAGATTGCTGCAGGTTGTTTTTCTAAATTAATTGCAGCGAAATTGCACGAACGTTTCAAGCAGTACAGAACGAAAAACGCTATTTTTCAGTTCGAAGTACTCCCAGCTGGTCAATCAGAGAGGGGAGATCTAATTGTAATGCCAATTCTGGCAATGCTACTGTTGCTCTCATCTGACCAATGTGTCGAATGATGCCAACCCCAAATTTCCCTCCCGGAAAATTCATAACTACAACAGACCTAAAACTTTAAACCTTGTAACAAAACCTCTGACTTGTGAAAAAGAGGCATCTTTCGACGAAACCTCACAGCTGTTTCTGTCTTTGCAGAACTCAGGTCTGGGGTCCAGCGCTGACATAAGACTCCAGCTCTTTGATAACGACCTCATAGCAAAACCGGTATTGATCCTAAGAATCCAACAATTGCCACATTTAGCACCAAACTGATATATAACATGCACGATGGCTTTAGTTTCCGACACAAATTACGCACCGACCAAAAAACGAAATCCAGATGCTTGCAGGTTACATTTTACTGGCCAGAACCATTAACTTCGTTTCTTGGGATTCAGATTCTCTTTTTACGACGATGCAATCTAAACAGAGGCTATGTATCATTCAAATCGGCATTGAAAAAGCTGATAAGCAACCAAGCGTGAACCATGGCTATATGAACTACCAAGTATATTAGACGAGTCAGGTGCGTCTAACTCAGCTAGATCAGGACGAAGCTGGAATGCACACACATTATTGCTAGGAGTATCCATAGTTTCATCAAAACACAGGATAAGAAGGCTTCTGCTTTGCACTGAAATGACAATGACAAGATACCACGCTGGGGTAGATGGCTGAAGGAAGTATCTTACTCTGGTTTGCACCATTCCATGTCGTTGCGACCTGAAGTTCCGCACCGTGTTTCCAATATCGACTGCCTCTAAGTCACCCTCCATAATTCGTCGAAGCGTATGATCAATAGTGCAATAGGTTCCAGTTCTTCCTATGCCAGCACTGCAGGTGTGGACAGTAACCTTGAACATTAACCTACTAAGTTGATGAGAAAGGGTGGTGAAAGTTTACGGCATCCACGGAACTTTGCTTTCAGGTGCGAGCCTAAATACAGGGGTGTGACAGGATCATAAATTTAGATGACGAGAGTGTACCTGCAGTGGACTACAAAAGGGCCAGCTGAAGGTGGAATACAGAACGAGGCACGAATCAGCTCACACACTGATCTTGTAGAATCTGGAACACCATAGTCAGACCACTCCAAGTACTCATAATGCGCCAATGTCATAGGTGGTTCTGGAGACTGCAAAGCCAGGTCAAAATTCTTTTAAATAAAACAAAACAAAACAAAAACTGCATCCAAAAGCAAGTCCAAGTCAATATATGTTAACACGTATCCACCTCTCATACTAAGTGTATGCCACCCGGTCGTTAGTTTTGAAGTCTCCCTATGTACAAACGTTGACAACCAATCAGCTCGGATTCCTGAAACAATTATGAAAGTACGACCATGCAACACAAAATCTTGAGTGAATCGGTACCTTGATGTCTTTAACCTCGAAAACCCGTCTGGTTATTCCATGTTGACTGTGGCTCATTTTCTTGTTTAAAACAACAATATGTCCAAAAGTTTCAGACTGATTTTCGCTCCTAGGGAAGTAATGTGCATATTTAGACTGCATTGCAACCAAAGCAAAGTTAAACATAAGACTTGCTTGATACACACAAGAAAACCGTTGCCACGTGAAACAAAAACCTATAACTCGACCGAAAATTTCTTGGAGTATGCTACCCTGTCAAACATGTGAAAGGAAACATTCTAAATGACAAGAAGGAATGCGTAATGTTACATAATATGACATAAAGCTTGTTAGCAAACTGTATAATAACCATACCAGTGTTCTAACTAATAAGCTGCAAAGTCTGTAATTTCGAGATAGATTTCGGTCGAATTATAGATTTTTGTTTATCAATGGAGGTCAACAACGAACTAAACTTTGGAATAGAAATTGATGGAAAGTGTTGCAACGGCTCAGACCATAGCTGTACTATTCGTGTGTAAGAAAATGCATAAGATTGAACACCCATTCGGCCCCACATACATTTTACCTTCAAGCATAGAGGTTCACGGCAGCAGCTAACCACCATCATCAATCTCTAACCTGCTCAGGATAACTTTGCTTACTTGGTCACCATCAACAACTCCTACGAGCATGATTATGACAGGGCACCGCTGCTGTAGCACCATGGTCCAGAAGTCGCTCACTGTGGAGGGCAATGGTCCTTGGGTGGCAATGTACCTGGGTAAATCTTCGTGGGCATTGTCCTGCAAGAACAGATCATCACTCATTGCTTTCAATACTTTGGATGTACAGCCAAAATCTACAGCATCATCTATATCAAGATGCAGCACCACACAGATGTAATGTACCAAGAATAGAATCGTATTGTAAAGTTATAGTTTGTCACAATTGCCAATAATCGATACCTGTACAAAGCTTGCGTTGATGTAATCAGAGCAAGTGGGATCGTAGTGTCTCTTGTCGAGGATCACTCTTGTGATATCATCTATGGAATTAAGTTAAAGAAGTGGAACACACTTCATCCTATGCATCTTCTAAGGTGCCAAATCGATCGAAGATTAATACAAATAACTTCATAACCAGACAGCAGCTCAATGAGAGGACATCATCTGTCTAATGAATTTGTTCTTCGAAGCATCATCATAATCCAAGGCAGCCTAACAAGTACATACACAAGAGATAAAAAACCTGGAAAAAACTATGCAAAGAGAAATTCAACAATCACGCTTCAGGATACAAGGCAGAACATCGATGTAGCGGTTCTTGGCTCTGTTGTTGGACATCACCGCCACTGTCGTTGACGAGAGTGCCTTGTAATTCAGCATCTTTTCTCCCTAGATATTCAACAACACATTTTTAGTGCCGAACATAACAAACCCCGATCATAAACCTAAATGGAGTAATAATACCCTTAAGATATCTACATGTTGCAAGCATACACGACAAACAATGTTACACAACGTTTAGTTCGCACTCTATTATCATCGAGATGGATCATGGTAGGCAAGAGAAGAGGGACTTGGAATACAGTGGAACAAAGAGAAGTATAATTATGTGTTCACTGTTTACAAGCACAGAAAAGACATTCACTACAAGAGACTCTTGCAAGGATTAACATATGAATACCTGCAACGTGTCAAACTCACGATCAATTACTCCACGCCCACTACTACTCTTTGATTTCTGCTTCAGCAATTTCAGAGCATTCTTACAAGCCGAGATCTGTCCTGCACTGAGCGACGGCAGTGGGAGGTCCCTGGCCATTTCCTGCTGCTTAATGACTGCTTCAATGTCTATAGATTTATCTGGAAGTCTAGCTCCTGCCATCCTTGAAGCCATCGAAGGAGGCGTAGGCGTGCAAGGGGACGAAGCCATTGTGAAGAACCCACGCGAAATTTTTTCTTTGATCCGTCTTAACATAAATCGATCTAAGAAGACTCTTGAAGAGGAATGGATCGCGCTGTATATTACCCGCCTTCGAACGCTATCCTAGACGTAGGAACAGAATAGAATCATTTCGTGGATCTGCTAAAAATTCCACAAACAACGGAATAAGCGACATAAAATGAGGTCACGGTTTCTAGAAACTTATGAGACATATGCGAGCTAAACAGAAACATTCCTAAATCATCCAGAGGATCCCAATGTCTCAGAAGTGCACGCATAAATTTCTTAGGAATGTTCACAGAATCTGTGAAAGGCTGATACAAGCTTATTCAATGAGTGGTGGACACGTTGAACTACTGCCTGGCTTGCAGCTGAACGTAAAACGGCATTACCCTAGAAATGAAAACCCCTAAAAGAAAGACAAAGAGTCACAGGATGATGCATACAAATAAATCTCCTCAAGAACAAGCTACATTGAAACACGGGAAGCCTCTCCAACAACGACCCCCTTCAACAGCATAAAAACAATAAGGACGCAGAACAATCGAGTTCCACTTCGAAGAGCCTGGAAGAATTGGACAAAAAACAACACAGGTTACATTTCCGATGGAAAATCGAGGGTGACATCCAACTTCCGGTACTCAACGGAGCTTGTAGAATGTTTAAGAGCATTGGCAATAACCACATTGTGGAATGAGAAGGCGCGGAAGAAACTTAAGGCAACCTGGCGGGAGTAGCGCCTCTGTACTGTAGTCCTCGATCCTCTTCGTTGTCGCCAAAACCCAAGTGCATCTTCTGTACGGGAAAGGGAGGTATCTTGTGGATTGAAGCCGTTCGAAGACAGGCGCGGGTCAGGATCGAACACCCGGTGCGGGAGCCCGTTGAATCTGGTGGGCGGATCCAGCAGCGTGTTTTTCACACGTTTGACCATCGTTGACCACACAAAAAAGTGAAGCCCCCAAAAGCAACAGAACAGAAATCGGACATCCTTGCACTTTCCACAGTGACCTAATTTTATGGGTCGCAACTGAAGCTCGACTCTGATTTCAGCACGGCAAATATTACTATGTGTTGTTTGAATGGTTCAATTCTGAACTTTCAGAAGGCATGTTAGAAATGATGTTGACTATACTAATGAATCGAACTTTTTCCCAATCGTTTTGCATAGATGGAAATTCGAAAGCTGAAATGATTGTATCTTAGGGTTTTTTTCAGAGCCAAAATCTGTCAAACTGCCCGACTGGCCCTTCGATTATACTGTTTAGTGCTGCTTGATGTTAATTTTGAAGTTTTGATTTCGTGCGTAACCATTACTGCAGTAACGAAATATGGTATGTCATCTGATTCATTTTTTGTGAAAGTATTTTTGCAGACGGGTGAGGATTTTCGCTCCTCGTTTGCATGACATTAAGATCTAAAATCTCATGTCAAAGTTTTTGTTTGTTTTGTTTTGTTTCTTTCATTCTCCAGACCAATATGCTCGTGGGCATGTGAAAAACTGCTCCTCTTTCATGCAATGTCATACGATATATACCCTTAAACCCTAATTTCAGTTTAAACTATGCAATCAAGGATGAAATTTATAGTGTGAAATATACATAACTTAATATGATTCTCTTGTGAACTTCGCTCTGTACAAGAGTGTTTTCTATTCAAGTTCCAGGTACTTCTATAGCAACCAATGAGTAGGAGCCTCAACAATCTTGGAATCCAGACCTAACATCTATCGTAAGACAATGTAGCTTACACCACCCATTCTTTCAGTGTGGGATATAGTCTTCAGCATTGCTACATGAGCAGCCTGTACCTGCACATATACAACCACAAGGAAATAAGACTTAGATGTCATTGCTTGTCAGTAAACGCAGACAGGAAGCATTCGACACATGTCAAACAGCACCTTACTACCAAACAGTAACTGACATGGAGTCATATGACAGATTTAAATTCATTTCTTGAGCTTTCGGTTGAATTTCTTGTACTTGAAAACTAGCTTATTGCCCTGGACAGATCCATTCTGTCGGAGGAATGTTTTTACCTCCTCCCAAATTTCCTACCCCCAGCCGGCTAAGCAACTGCAGCAGGCTGAGCTGGAATCCCGTTGACAGGAGCACTTTTAAGAGATTTCTTTACCCATGTGGCTGCTTTGAACCACTTGGACGAGGTGAACGGTAAAGTTGGTTAGCGAATACTAACAGAACTACCATGTTACATCCATAATCTGCCTGGTGTGATAAGTTTTTCCTGCTGAGTGGGACATATGAGCTCAAACCCTGTACACATTGATTTCAACGGTACATCAGTCCAGCAGTTTAAACCTAAATTGCTCAAAACTAGGCCAGAGCTAATGAGCAACATGCGTTTGTAGTGAAAAACAACTTTCTTAACATCTTCTGACATGGCCTTTTTGTTGCCACGAATTTTGGTTTCATTCCCAGCAGCAACACCCTTCCGCTTTTCTTTTGATGCGGCAGCCACAGAACTCTCATTCCCGGCTACAGCTGGAGTGGTTTCTACTGGAGTTTCTTTGGTGGCATCCTACTTTTTCAAATCTGGAGTCAAAACTGGGGACATTCCCACTTCGTCGTTTTCCAAGTCAACCTGGATAAGAAGAAAACATGTACATGAGTGATACCATCAGCTGCTACATCCAAGTCAAGCGTAATGAAGATGAAACAAACAACACAAAGCGAACTTGCAATGCTCCTTACTTCACGAGGCATGCAAATATCCAAGGGGTGCAAAAATCTCACGTCTTCTTCACCATCAGGGTCGTCAAGAGCCTGGTTATCAATCTTCTTACGATCACAACCAGACTTGCTGAACGGTTTTTGCCCTTCATCGTCCTGCTCCTCCTATCTCTCATCTTGCTCATCTTCTTCTTCCTGAAACGCTATCATACATTCACGACACATTCCCGAACAAATCAGAACCAGAAGGGTGGTCGCCTTCAGAAGATACATGCTGTTTAATAGAAGCTGATCATGTTTTCTATGGATAAAACTGTGATGTCCCACCAATAAATCAGGCTACGTAGTGATTACCCGAAAGTAGTAAACGACAACAAGGTTCTAAGGTTCAATTGTCTCAATCTCAGTCATTAAATCCATGCAGACACAAATCCGTCCAAACTTAATCACAAGAATACCAGCTCCAACAAATTGTTAATTAACAAGTTGCCCAACGTATCCAGTAACTTCATTTTCCACGTACAGGCCATTGCAAAACGAGAACCATTTGGTAAGATCAATAATCAAGGACCTGCAAAACTAGTTTTTGCAGTCTTCTTGACTGAATATGGTCAACAATGAGAAGCGTGTGACGAGATTTATAATGATTGTCACCTATGATGAACACTGACGAATGCTCTCCAGACTCTAAGCATCTTGCCTTGCAGATCGTGCGAAAATCTAAATCAAATTAATATACCAAAAAACTGGTGTATCGGATTGATTTCTAGTTGAGCTGGTCCTTCCGAAAACTGGTCCTCCCGCTCATCCGGATCGTTGTTCACTGCCTCATCATCATCTGTAAAAGTTTCTTCATGCTCTCAATCATCACCTGAAGATGCGAAATCCACAGGACTATTGAAAGGCTACTAACCTTAGAAGTATGGGATTAATTGCGTAAGAGAAATGAGAATAGAAGTGCTATCCGAAGCTCAACGACTTGGTTTGTTCACCACAATTCACTCAACGCAAGTTTGGCTTCCATGGAATTGTCTCAAGCAAAGCAACACCAAGCAGCGTAAGGATGGGATGTCCAACACACTAATGACCAAATATTTTTGAGCAAAAGACATCACCGCTGCAGAATCTGCTGACAATAAATCCTTCGTTCTAGCTTCTCTTTATCAACGCCAATGTAATTTGCAGCATCATCACCATCATCACCTCCTTAAGCAAATTTATCCAATTTTCTATTCCTCTTTCTCTCCTCTTCCAGAACTCTGAGAATCATCATAATTATCATCAAGGCTGCCTTTTCCGTAAAACCTTCCACCAGCACCTCCATAGCAAGGCAGCTTGTCTACATCTGCATTAAATGCCTTCATCATCAACCTCTAGTAGCCATCAGCTGTCTTAAAACGAATTTTCATTTGCTCTTCTGCTTCCCTCAATGTGGACCTCTTGAATCCTGAACTCTTACCAAGCGCTACCTAGAGAGGTGGTAAACTCAGAACAATAAATCGAAGGAGTGAAGTATATTGCTTGTTGCTACATTTGAAAATGATGTCAACGGCTATCGTCCTCTGGTATCTACAAAATACTATCGTACTCTATCTATATATATTAAGATCCCATTTATCCCAAGTATACAAGTGGTTGCTCTCATTCACCACATGGATTGGTCTTTGTTTTCATCAAAAAAGTTTTTTTGTGGAATTCACAACCAGTTTTACAATTCATCAAGGCATTCTACAAGGCGTTTTATAATTCATCTAGGCATTCCACAAGATTCATTAGAAACTAATTACTTTGTTAAGGTAGGAATTAAGAAAAGGTTTTGATTTAACATTGTAAGCTCATTGGATTTCAATTCTAAGATAAGTGCTTTTATGGGTATTTTTCTTGTATATTGTTGTTCCAACAGCCTTCTTGATTTTTTCTATAAGTAGAGGTTTTTGTTTTGACTTTTGATCGACCTTTCAATATTTTGTTGTTCATTCAAAGTCATCAAATTTTGCAACAATTTGCACAATGGGGCTCTAGGAAGATTAGAAAATGCAATCGAAAGTAAGAAAGGGAGAGAAGTGGAATTTGCTTAATGTTGAGAGAGGCAAGAGTAATGGTGCATACAACAACTATAGCATTGATAAGTAAGTCAATGAGCAATTAGAGGTGAAAATTGTAAAAGAGATAAGATCTGGCAATGCTTTGATGATGAATGGAAATGTCAAGATATTTATATGGTTCATAAGAGGGTGTTTGAACAATATAATATCAAAGTAGAGAGAGTTTGCCTCAAGAAAGCGCTAGGCTTTTGGCTATTATCAATTGCTCTATCAAGTCTTAAGATAAGAAAGCATCAAGTTTATACATAAAATTATTCTAATAGGGGCAATTACATCCAAGAACATCTAAAATGTCATAAAAATATTCTAAAACCTTATATATCCTTAAAGAAAAAATTTCCCAAACTTCAATAGCTCATATTTTACAATCAAATTATCCAAACACACTTAAATTTTATATAAAGTATTGATGTACTTTAAAAAAAACTATTAAAATAAATTTTAATTTCAAATTTCTAATAAATCTTGAAATGTCACTAAAACTCTAATAATAGCTTCAAATCCTTATTTACATATACTTAAGTACAACTTTCTTTATTTTTCACAAACTAATCACTTAAATACCACAAAAATTGGTATATAGCTTTTTAACCTAATAATTCAAACTTTTAAAAATTTTGAGCCAAAAATTGATTTGAAAACTTAAAATATGGCTCCAACCATTACTATCGACAAAATAGTTCACTTATTACCTTTGAATTACATGTACTATCTTCGACTTCCTATAATTCCTTTATATAAGCTTTGAATGTAATAATTTTTTCATAAAAGACATAGATCTTAAAATTGTCCTTGTAGCCACATCTTCTGATCTCCAAAAGCTATCATACAAATCCTCATATCCTGAAAAGAGCAACAATATATCTTAAAAGATCCTATAACTTCAAATGGCTATATCTTCTTCATTCTAACTCCAAACCATCTAAATTTTATATACAAATTGTAGCTCAAATCCTAAACCTTATAACTATTACTTTTGATTTTTAAATTGCCTCTTTTGAAATTGTTGAAATCCTTGTTATGGTTGTGGACAGCCTATTGAAAGCATATTGGACATGACCTTCAACCAATAGAGATGAAGATTTTTATGCCTTTCTTTCATACCTTGCTTTCATCCCTCCAAATAAGCTTCTTAGTAGTTTGGATTTTTATCTTTGAACTCCAATCTTCTCTGAAAATTTTATATTAAATCTCTAAATCCTATATAATTTAAATATTACAATTAAAATAAGTAAACTTCAAAATAAATTTTCTTACATCAATTCTCTTTAAATTAACCTACTAACCACTCTAATACACATCAAGATTTATAAATATATTATATGTTTTAATTAATTTTTATATACTATAAACAATTATAGTACAAAAACATGTTCATTATAGACAAGGATTCATATGATTCTCAAAGCACATGGTTTCTTTTCTACAATCTCTAATATCTAAAGAAGGTTTGGAAGCTTCATGAGCTTTCTAGCCCTACAAGACAAAAGCTTTAGGTAGCCACTACAAATGTTTGAGAAACAAGCCCAGGATTCTTCATCACCAATCCTCATTCTTGTCCTTCCTGATCTCCCCATCCAACTAGGAGTTTGCTCAGATCTATAGGTTTATTATCATATGGAATGCAAAAATATATTTTGTTGTATATTAGACACAATTGTCAAGAAGTTAAAGAAGAAGAAGAAGAAGAAGACTTTTTCTGAATCTCTCTTCTACAAAGATGAGAAGGAGGATAAGGAAGCAAAAGACTAAGATGTAGAAACTGGCTTGCCATTGCAATTGATCCTTCCACTATTTTTGTTTTGTGAGTTCCAGATTTGGCTTAAATCCTATGGCATTTACTTTTCTGATCTAAAACACATAGTATATCATTTAATAAACAAAACTATTAAATAACATAATTTTATTGGAATTTTCCAAGTATTATCAACCACAACAAAAACTATCCATGACAATAGCACGGTTACATCTAACGGGTACATCTAGCTTGGTCTTAAAATAAAACTTGCATCAATTTCAACAAAAATAAATATATATAAATAAATATATATATATATATATATATAAGTGAAATATTAGAAACATATAAAAATGATATGCTTGAATTTTTTAGGACATATTATAATCTAAACCAACCATTTAATTATCAACAATTCTAAATGATAATATCAAGTGAAAATATCAAGTGAAAGGGGAGAATGATGATATTATAGTTATCTACATTCACCCCCCTCTTGATTCCACCACCAAAATATCTTGGGTTATATTATATTATATAATAAAATACATGTTGTTTATAATAATCTAAGATCCTGTCTATGTAATTCTATGTAATTCGATTGATTTAGGCCTTGTACATTGATGACTGCATATTCCATATTAACAGTGCAGCATGTTTTACATCAGACACTATTCCAATATTGGAATATTCCAGTATTGGAAACTGTCATCGCACCAGTAGTGGAATATTCCAATATTCCAGTACTGGTACGATGACAGTTTTAGTATGTTAAAATTCAATCCAATAATATCAGATTCAAGTAGAACGCAAGTGATGTTTGATGCTAAAACAATTTTTATTTTCCTTAATTTTGAATACAACAGCATTTCGTACATTCAAACTAAACCAGCCAAATCAATGGCCAGCCAAGGGATCAAGTTCTAAAATACTGCAAGTTAACTGCCGGAAAGTACGGGAGCCATCAGGAATTATGTACAAGTATTTCGGGGTGAAACAGTCGTGCTCATCCACTTCGCAAAGCCGCCAGCCTAGCTTCCAAGTCCACTGCATCGATACCAGAGCTGCAGGAAAACATTAGACGAGCCCATGGTTCTCAATTTCCTTAGTACTTTTCACCTATCCTTAAAGGCGTGAATGAGGACCAACCAACACGTTGTTGAAGTACTCTATCGGTCACGCACCACATCAGCACTAGTCTGAGGATTGTAACATACCTGCTAGCATTGGGGACCCTAGCTTTGCCTGCACCGAGTTTCCCTTTCGGCGCAGCACTCATCTGCGCAAATAATAATGGCATATACTTTGAGGGTTTGAACAGGATGAAGAGAAGATGTAGAAGCAAAAATATGTCGCATGTACATGTAGTGCGCATAAAAGACTAACCTGAGTGGCAATATCGACGCCGATTTCATCAAGGACCTGCAGTCCAGCACATTCTTTTAGCAATAAGTTTTAGCTAAAAGAGAACAACGCAGTAACAAAAAAAAAAAAACCAAGAATCAGCAGAAATAACAACTACAACGGAAGACGACGTGAAAGACTTGCTACGACGGTTAGCAGTGAAGGGATGGAGGAACATGCCTGGGCGGTAAGCTCTTCTGTCTCTTCCTCAGCCTCATCATCGTCTAATGCATCATCGATCGAATCGGACATCATCTCCGTCTGTAAGCAAAAGTTGGGCAGGTAAGCAACTACTGAGGCGTCTGGAACAGTTTCACGTAGAACGCCTAAGAATACTGCATTGACATGAGTCGAGGAAATCGAAACCAGGTCACTTACAGTCATGTCCATCTGAGCTGACTGACGCTGGAATTCTTGCATGATCTTAGCCGTCTTAGCAGGCTCCATTTGCTGTTGAAAGTATCAAATAACAAACATTCGCTTTAAAATGCCATGGACAACAATTCAAGACAACTAAACTGAGAGAATTATGAACAGAGGAGTAGAAAGAAATACACAGGGAGAGAGGGGAAATAAGAATTGAAGAACGTCAATTGAGTGACGATTGGTCCAGAATAATTGTCGGCTTACAACCTACTTGCAAGTGCAGCATTGTCATTGTCAAATCATTGTAAAAGCCTGAAGAAGAAGAAGATCACCAACCCATTCGCTACACGGAGCACAGAGCTCTTCCATAAGAATTTGAACAGCGACGACGTTGAAAACGTACCTTGTTCATAGAGGCCATTGCTTTAGTTGCTCCCTTCATGGCGCCAGCCACTGCTGTGTTTGCATGCATAGCCTAACAATTCCACCCAAGCATTCAGAGTTATAAGCATACGCCAAGCTTGATTTGAGAAAGTCCGTCATTATTCAATTAGCAAACTCAAGACCCGATTTGGTTGATGCTCAGTGCCCAACGTACCTGGGTATGCGTGGCAACCCCGCGCATTTGGGCTCTACTCTCTTGTAGCTTTGTAATTTGTTGCCGCAGCCGGATCAGCTGCCGTGCTAAGATTTTGGTAGCTGCCTGCTCAGTTGAACACTCAGATCGTCTGTTATCGTTATCTCCGTTACGCGGCGCAGTGATAAGAATATATCGAAAAGGATTCCAAGATTCATTGGAACTTGGTCTACATTGTCTTCATTATCATCTGTAAAACTTCTCTACAATAATGTCATGGTAGTAGAAAGAAGCAATTCCCGAGAATCTCTAATGATTAAGTGATGAATATCGTGAAGAATCCACTCACGTCATTGCCAGCTTTGGCCGTCTTTTTTATTTCGGCCACTAGCTTCTTTTCCTGCATTCACGACACAAAAGTCATAACAAACATCGAAGACTGTAACAAAGTCTCGTAAGTTACAGCTTTTTCTTTACAGTAACGTACTTGGACATGTAAATTCAAAACTTGATCCTTATGGAATCAAAAACGTCTGGTAAAAGTCTGTACTTCAACAGTTCCTGTGACGAATCGAGCTAATGCGACACAAAAACAACTAACCGAGCTAAGAAACCAATGCTTGCACTTTAAAAAAAAGGTAAAGCGTGGTCATTTCTGAAGAGCTATGCGAAGTAAAAGACTAGGCTACACATTCGAAACACATGTGGCAAGCTACTACTTTCTCTTGAAGATTTAGATGAGCATTCACTTAACAACACGTAAGCAGTTGAAAGAGTAATACCTCTATTTGTAAGGAATTGATCTCTCTCTCGATCCCTGTGTACCCATGCATTCAAACCCCATACCAACCGTCTCATACCACTCAACTGTTGACATTTAACTGCATGAAGCTATTGTCGTAAACACTTGCCATAACATTGAAATTGGGGACTAAATACAACAAGACACTCCCAGTTAACAAAACATAATTAACAAGAGAAGCACCAGGGGAGGCTCTAAGCGGATGCTGGGGACAGCATAAATTGACATAGCCTGCAATTTAAATTGTAGAACTTATTGACTGTTGGATAAATCTGGTAGTTTTGGCAATTTGACTAACATGCCGAAGCCGAGAGTCTACCAATGACTTTCAGGAGCCTACAAGTGCATTCGCACAGAATACAGTGTAAAGCCATTCACACACTGTGTCTGTTACATAAACAGCGACCATGAGTCAGCAACTCACCCCTGGTAGCATTGGACATCTCCCGCTTACTCGCTCTCAGCACCTCTGCAACCAAAACTAGTCATGCTCAGCTCCAAGTACTATCAATCCAAGACTAAGAATGCGCAAGCTTCAGGAACATAAGGGAACGGTAGGAGCTGCTGCCAAGAAGACGATAGATGATGGAGGAGTAGGGGATTATCCAGTGACATTCAATTAAGCATCTATATAACAGCATTGAGAACATAGTACACTGAACGGAGAAATTATCGAACGAAGAAAACGAGCTCTACCCGCAATCAGGCAGCGTCCGAAGGCAGATAGAGCGGTAGTCAATGCAGACATATTTCAACAACGAATTGGGACCCCGCCGGCCCAGAGACTGCGATCGGCAGCCGACTCGCCCAATGCAGACACATCGTAACGGCAGATAGAGACCTCAACGATCCACCATCGCACTACATTGACAGAACAAGTCACCCGCACTCTAGTCCTCCACATATTTCACCTCCTCAGCTCACCATGCGAGGCAACAAGACGTTTCTGTTTCCCATCACAAGGCAAGTAAAATATGATAATGTGAGCTACAAACCTTTCGCATCCGGCTTCTTCTTGAAAAGGTTCATCTTCACGACTCTTCCTCCGCCCCTCGAAGTGGTTCGATCGAATCGCCAATGACCTTGCTTCCCCTCACTAATGCCAGCTGAAATTGTAACCTCCTCAAGACAGCCCCAGTCCCTTTCGAGTGAAGCAGTAGATCACCATAACAGACCTCCACAGCAGAGCTCTCATGACATTCCAACCCTGCACATCGATCCGAATCAAGCGAGGGAATGGATGCCACCGGAACAATTGCCGAGGCAGCGACAACTTTCCATCGAAGAAATTCAAAACCCTAAAGCGGGAGTTGAGACCACTGCCCTCTTGACAAGGAGCCAGAAGAGAGCGTCCATGCAGGTGCCCCAACGGCACCAGCCATGCCAGGTTCGCAGACGGCTTCCACGTCAGTGGAACTCGTTGCACGAGTCGGAGATTATTCACCTTCACTCCCCAATTTTCTTAAAAGAAACTTTAACACACTTGTCATATATATATATAAATTTATTTATTTATTTATTTAGTTAATTATTTCATGTATGTTTATATGTACATGTATTTGTACATTGCATGTTTTTATTAATATAGTATTTAAATTTTAAGACTATTTGATGTAATAACCAAATTTCCAACATATTGTATCATTACCATAAATAAGAAGATTCACTCAATTGATTGAAGTCTAGCCCTATCAAACTTAGCTAAATTAAATTGACTTAGTCATAGAGATTGATCAAGTATCAACAACCAAGTAGATTTTAAAACCAACATGTTTAGATATTAAAGGAACTAGATACAAAAGATTGAGCCAATTTGAGTTTGTAAAAGAGAAGAATCTTATTAATTTTATTTCTATTTCTATTTCTATTTTTCAATCAAAATGCAACTTTTCTATAAAGTTTTAGAACTACATATATATATATATATATATATATATATATATATTTAAAATTCTATAATGTCCTGGTTTAGATCTCAACAAGAATGTGGATTGGAAAAAAAAATGAAGTAATATTAAAGAAAAAATATTTTTATTGTTTGAATATATCATTATGCGTAGTTGTAATGAATATGGAGTTATAGAATCTAAGATCAAAGATGGAAGTTGAGAAGAAGTGTGAATCAAACTAATAATTTAATAAATAAATAAAATTAAAATTTATATAGAACTTTTAATCTGATTCCAACAAATATTCTAAATTTTTTTAGTCAAACTTAGAGAACAAGAAAGAATCAAAGACATGTAGAATGATATGTCTTTAGAAGACAAGTCATTGATCATGTAAATAAAATATAAAATCAAAATTATGTGTTTTAACTTCTAGATGAAATAAATTTTTTTTATCTAATTTTGGTTAAAGAGTGACTTAAATATAAAAGTCTTCAATTTTTTAAATATCAAAGAGAAGTTTGTATGTTAATATTAACTGCCATGATTGTATTTAAATTAAAAAAGTTGAAGTAGGCAACATTGCATATAATTCCTTAAACTTTTGGTGTTTTTAAATTAATCTTCTTGGTGAGTCACTGTTAGTGAAAAAAAACTTGTTAGCAAAAAGACAATAATAGTGATATTGAGAGTTTAATAAGTCTATCAAAATCTCAAATGTAAAATTTTTAAATCTCAAGATTCTGATGTAACTTTAGTTATTAAGAGAATATGTAAAAATTTAAAAGAGAAATTTATTTTTGTTGGATGCAATAAGATGGAACTATAAGAAGAGAAAATTTATGCAATAGCCTAATATAACATTGTTACTAGTAAAGAAACTTGAATAGGAAAAAACAATCTACATAATAAGAAAGTCAAACAAAAATTTTAGTCATAAAATAATATTTAATTTTAATTTTTGTTATAAATATCAATAAGTAAAACCTTAGTATTTTGATGATATAATCTAACTTTAAACCAACTTTTTTGTAAATTGATTTGAAGATAAATTAAATCATAAAACATAAATAATTACGTACATTCTAAAAATACAATTCATGATTATATAATGATAAAGAATAATAAATAGAAAGAAACATAATAGTTGTAAAAATAATGCAATAGCAAAAAAGATCTATTAAATATGAATATCTATCAAAAACAATGATGTAGCCATTGTTCCTAGTATTAGTATGTTGCTAAATAATAAGAATAGCACAAATATAATATTTATGTTAATTGGTCTAATTAAATAGAGGTGGTTTGGAAGAATCAATATAGTAATAAAACTTGAATCAATAAGATTTAAATAATAGAAGGTAGATTAAGATAATTCAATATTTATAAAAGTTAAATTAATAAAAATGCATAATATAAGTTAGATTAAAGATAACCAATACATGTAAAAATTATATGTTTTAAAATTTGGATTAAAATAGATTAATTCAAAAGAATAATATCTACTTATAGAAAGATAATTAGTAATTAATAATAGAAATAGTTTAAATAATCATAAATTTTGAAAATTAGAAGTACTATTATTGTTACTGTTGTTATTATTGTTGTTATTTAATTAAAAATTCTATTCAAACTAATTTTAAAGACAAAATAGTTTTGATTTATAAATTTATTTCTTTAATTTTTTATTTAAATTAAGTCCTTGTGATCTTTTTATTGAAGTCAAATTATATAGAATTTAGTCCAAATCAACAATTAGGGCATAATTTCTCTCATTATACCTTTAGACTAAATTTTTTAAAACTTAAATATAAAAATATTTTAATTTAGGATTAATACTTTTAAATTAATATCCAACAAGAAATACAAAAATCTAATGATGGTTTAAGATGATCAAGAAGCTCACTCTTAACTAAAGCAAAGTCTAGAAAAAACTTTGCAACCTTAAAAATTTTGAATCTATATAATTATGTTTCTAGTATCAAAGTTCAAACTTTAAATCCATTGAATAATAAGTCTTTGTTCTATTTTTTTAGTAACATATTATTTACCTAGATACTTTTTTTATGATTTAAATATATGATTAATATAGTATATAATTTTAAAAACTAATATATAAAATTTAGAGCTTATTTTAATATAAAAAATAATATATTATAATTTTTTATTCAAAAAATTAAAGTATATATTATCAAGGATACAAATTTAAACAAAGTTCAAGGATAGCATATTCATTTATCATTAAAGAAGGAAAAAATGAAGATGATAAGACATAATTTTAAGAAAAAAAAACTAAAAAAATACTAATATTGTATATATAAAATGTTGAAAAGCTTGAATCAAGATTAGAATACAAGAAAGATTGAAGGTAGCTTTACTCTTATCTCTATGTATACTAGCTACAAAGAAGGTCTTCTAGATAGGTGGCACATTTACAAGAATCTAAAGATCTAATCTATGTTTAGCAAAGTTTTAAAGATTCTTAAAGAAAATAATTTCTATCTAATATAATCTACCTTATTCTACTTCTTTTTATTAATTTTTCAAATTTTGTTTTAAAAATAATATAAGAATGTATTATAATTTTAAGATTATGGGTTATTTTTTAAAAAATGTATTATTTCAGCTACAATTTTTTTTAAATTACAAAAACTTCAAAAAAAAATAAAAACATACTTTTCTAAAAAATAAATTATACTGAATTTATTAGGAATAAAACTTGAAAAGGTAGAAATATAAAAAATAATGATAATAATAATAATAGTTTCTATATATTATCATATTTTTATTATTTTAACCAATTTTAAAAGTAATCACTTAAGAAGATACAAATATGATATAAGTTTTTTGAACAAATGTACTGCCTAAAGTGACTTACTGAAAATAAAATTTATATCAAAGAATCAAGAGTCATTTTTCTAAACGAATTCACTTGTTTTAGATTTGAATTTTAGAAAATTATTCACCAAATTCAAAAATAATAAATTAAAATTTAATATCTTATTTATCTAATTCAAGTATTTTAAGTTGTGCTAATTAGAATAATATTTATATTTTATTTTATTTTATTCTATTTATTTGTTTATTTTAAAGATAAAATATCTTTTGTTTAAAATACTTTTTTTTCTATTTTATAACAATATAATCTATGCATAATAAATATAATTCATTTTATAGAACAACTAATAAAATCTATGTTTTGCAATACAAATATTGGTTTTTTTAACACATGCAAAATAATTTAATAATTGGATATTTTTTAAAATAAAAATATATTTATTTAATAATTTATTTATTTATAATTTATATTATTATTTAAATAAATATATTTTAAAATTTTTATATTAAAAAAATAAATTAAAGAAATTTATTTAAAAAAAAATAATATCAAATTTCAAAAATCTTCTTTGAAAATTGTGTGATGATGATTCTATTATACTTCTGTAGCAAACGTCTTTATTATTGTGAACTAATGTAATATGTACATACTACATTATGCAATATAGAATCTACATAAATTATACTTACATTGTCATATTTACAAAAATAATAAATATATATCTTTAATGTGTAGGTGACATTGTTAATAAATACACCACATAACATCAATCTAAATTTGGTTTAAATTATATCTTAATACTTATGAAAATTAAAAAATAGGTAGAACAATCATATACATACATCATCAAAATAAAAAAAAATATAAATAGGTCCAAGTATGTGGATATTTTCAGCAAAACTAGGGCCAATTAATCCTCTATTAATTGTTCTTTATGCCATAAATGAAATCCCTTTTAGAATACTATACTATAATCAATATGAATTCAATTAAAAAATTATATAGTATTATTCAAAGTAGCTTCTATAAGATTATTAACTTCCAATAGATCTTTTCTTATATTATGGATAAATCCATCTATCAATAAGAATTTAATTTAGAAGTAGTATAAAATACTTCATATACAAAGTAACTAAATAAACATCACATAAGTTCATTATATCAGCTCTTTAAGATCTTCCACATAATATGCACTTCAAGTTGGTTGAAATTACACTCAAATTGGGATCTACTATTTTACCTAAATTTGACAAATGATTGAATACATAAGTTTTCATATCTTGAAAATTATAAAAATATTTCTTCTATATTTTTACATAAGAACTATCTTTATACTTGTTTCAAGTCTTTGAAGTTTATGTCAAAGTTAAGGTCAAATAATTCAACTTTAAATCTAATTTCAATATTTTTAATTTATTAATCTTATCTTATCTTTTTTAACCTAATCTTTAAAGATTTTTCCTCTTTGTATTGAAAAACCCTTATATCTTTATAAACTTTAACTTCTCTTTGTCTTTTTCAACCTAATCTTTAATTTTAATTTTATTTTTATTTTTTACATTGAAAAACCTCTATATCTTCAGATGTCACAGACATACATATTTATCTAGAT